AAAAAAAAAAAAAAAACAATTTAAATTATAAATAAATAAATAGAAATAAGCGATGTATAAGTTGATTGCACTTTGTGGATCCCAAACAATGTGAACAAAAATTACTCGAGTGTTTATGAATAATTTACAATCACGAGCCCAAATTGGGATAAATAATCCCACAAATGTTTAAATTTTACTTATTGATTGAGAAAATTGCAGATAGGGTCCTTAATGTTTGCAAAAAGCACAAATGATTCTCAAAGCTTCAAATCTTAGCAGCGCATCCCTACAATTTGGATAAATATGCTTAAGTAGTCCTTTTGAATGGAAAAGGTCCAATATTCTATTAGAGTCCGTTTGATTGTAAGAGTGGAATTTGGGTAGAAAGAAAATGAATTTTAGGAAATTGAATTGTTTAGAATTATTTTTCTAGGAATTGTCAATTAATTGTGTTCGATTAATATAATTTTTCACGTGGAAAATATTGAAATTTTGGATCTTTTGGTATTCATTTGACTTTGTTTTAATTCGTATTTTAGGAAATATAATTAGGTTTAATTTAGTTACTTTTATTATATATTTTCCTTCTCAAGATAGAATCTTTCATATNTTGTTACAATTGGAGATATAATTTATTTGCATTGTAAAAAAAAAAAAAAAGAACTGGAAAACAATTTTCCCACCAAAGTGGTGGGAAAATCAATTCAAGGAAAACAAGGAAAAATGGGTCAAGTGAGGGATAGGGTGGAAAACTAATTCCAAGGAAAATTCTTCTTATCAAACAATGTAAAAGATGGAAAATGATTTTTAAGTTACATGGAAAATTGGGGATATCAAACAGGGCTTTAGTGAAGCACGTGAACTGCACTTTCCCAAATTTTAGGCCCCTGTTCGGTGTTGATTAAAATTTAGATTTCAATCTTACTTAAAGTCAATAATTAATTTCAACCATATGTTTTATAGGGTCCACAACCTTTCAACCACATATTTCATCAATTTTTATTAAAACATATTAAAAGTTTGATTTTAATTTCCACTGAACAGAGGTTACGGCAAAAATGTCAATCTAAATTATCCCACTAATTTTTTTTTGAAAAATTCAAAAAGGAAAAGTGAAAATTCATTCCTTNTTTTTTGAAAAATTCAAAAAGGAAATGTGAAAATTCATTCCTTAGTTGGGTCGACGAACTTCTGTTTAGTTTGAAATTTCAACTCGTGTCATATTCCATCACTAATCATCCTCCAAATCGACGAAAGTAGCTTAGTTAGTAACACTTTTGTAATTGAACTCCCATATAATCGATACACAACACCCTATAAAAATAAACATTATGACAAGGTTTTTAAATAAAATAGTTCGAAAGCATTTTTTTTTTCATTCGAACACTTTTAATGGCATAGTTTAGTCTTAAGCTGGCATATCATCTACATGAAAGATTCAGGAGATAGTATACCAACCAATTAAGCTCATGTATGGTAGAAATTAAAATTTTAATCTATAAAGTCAACAATTAATTTTAATCACACATTTTATGGTACCTACTGTTACTCCTCGCCTCAGAGGCTCAGTGAAACGAGGCCATATGACACGACACGTGGATATGCAGTCAGCAAGAGTCAAAAGAAGACCAAGTAGGTCAAACACACCAATAAGACAAACAGTCTGAAGTCCTCACACCACGTCTGAAGTCCTCACCACAACGCGACAAAGTCTAGACTGATGCACTTCTTCAAAGACGAAGCTCAGATCCATCCGATGCTCTCTCCAACTTATCCGAAGCTCATTGAGCCGAACGCTGTCTCTTGTAATAGATTTAAGGATCTACTAGAAGTGAGTGATGTAACACTTGTAGAAAAAGTTGTCAGTGTGTCAACATATTGTATATGACTGCTGACCCCTTATCAATGTAATAATTGTATGAATGGACAATGATGTGAAGCTTTAGTTAGGGAGACGAGCCCACGTGGTTCCGATCTAACGGTCACCACGTCGGTCAAGACAATATAAATAGGCCATCTTTGTAAAAAAGGGGGGGATAGAGATAAACATATGATAAAAATATACACTAGAAATCTAAAGAGTAAGA